AAATCTGGAGTCTCCCGGATTATCTGGGAGAGTTGACAGCCCTGGACAAACATGGACAACAGAGTTGTAGACTGCGGGTAAACAAGGTAAACATTGTTATGAAATGCTTTAACAGGATTCTCTATCCCTAAACTTTAAGTCTAGACTAGGGATAGTGAATCTGTTAAAGCATTTCACAACATCGTTTACCTCGTTTTACTGCCAGTCTGCAAGTCTGCAGTCTATGTTTGTTGCACACCACTTCTGAATTGATTCAGATGTCGATATATATTAAAGCTGAAGAGGACAGAGTATGCATTTGCTTGTGTACTTCAGCACCTGAATCAAGTCCGCAATTTTCATTTCCCAGCTGGCATGAACCAGGTGTGAAGAACGGCAAAGCGGACTAAATTCAATCAGCCATTTACAACTGACTCAGATGCTGTACTTCATATGAACTTAATTTCATTTTAGTCGATCTGGGTCATGTGAAGTACTGTGCTATATGAACTGGCTGAACTGGGCCTAAACAGTAAGATTTCCGTACAGCCCAATTACTTAACTGCATACAGCAATCTCATAATTATTATATAATTTTATGCAATAGTTCACTTGAATAGTGTCAAAACATGTATGCACAATAAATGGATGGGGCTCTGCAGGAATCTTTTGCTTCCTAAACGTCTTTATAACCTCACAATCTATAGACTATGGATGAGTCAATGTATGTAGTGGTTGAAAATTGTTCTGATTACCTTTGGTTTTTACTGCCCAACTCCAAAATCCCTGAACATCTGACGTACTTCAAGAATGTTTCTTGTGTTGTGACCAATCAGAGCAAACGTAAGGACAAGTAAGCAAGCCACAAGCTCTTCGACTAATTACCGTCATTGCTTGCATTTTAGTTTTCTCTTGCATGCCTTTTTCACTTTTTTCTTGCAAGATAGTAACATTTCAGGAATATTTCTGGTGATCATGGTTTTGTAAGTCTTACAAATAGTTAATATCAAATGGTAATACAGTTACTAGTTGTTACCATTAAATACAGTGTTCTTCTTATCAGGCGGCAACCGATAAAATTTACCATTTGAAGCTACTTTTCTTACTGCCCACAACCACTTTAAGGTTTACTAAGATTATGTATATGTATAAGTTGTTTTAAAAATATGCAAGTTGTTATCTGATCCGATCAGCTTTTCTTTTTATGGATCATGCATTTTGGGAAGAGACCGTTGAATACAGAGTAAAATTATTGCAATCAAATTTGGAATTGTTGTCTAGGGATAATAATGGCTAATATGCAGAAAATAGATCTTAAAATGAGGGAAAGATGTTTCAGAGAACTCAGCTCCTAAATTTCACAGCGAGGTCGAAGCCATGTCCCTCACTCCACTACCCCCCTCTCCCTAGGAAAGTGCACCTCTGGCGCATATTTTTTGCCTTACCGGCCATGAATGGTTCCTTACCTGCTGAGCTGAAATTTAATAGGGAAAACACGGTAAAATATTAATACAGTAAATATAAATATAAACCTTTGCATGACACAATAGAAGCAGATAGAAATGATTGTCAGTTCAGTTTCCAGGAGGAGACTAAAAGTAAAAACAATGTCCTTGTAAAATTTACATTAATAATTACATATTGTATTACTAGAACTTTCGTGCTAAATACATGTACATTAGCAAGAGATTAAAGTAGGGTTGTTTTACCTCATAAAAGTATGAGCAGAAATAATTATTATGGTGCTTCAATTTCTTTTACTCTTGGTTCAAATTTTACTTTCTTTTTCTTTGGTTGTGCTTATTACAATGTGTGATAATGAGTTTCAAGCAAGGGAAAATAAAACCTCTCCAAGAATAACATGAAACCCCAGTATTTACTTTATGTGGTGAACGTTGAGGCCATAACATGTGACAATCAGCTTTTTCAGTGTTTTGGCAAAGATAAGAAGTTCTTTTACATTTTATTTTCCAAAGTTCTGTAGCCGGTTACAATAAATTAATTTCCTTTACTACAGCAGTGACCCACCCTGGTCTTATAAATTATTCCATCTTTGTGGAAAAATTCATAACATTGGCTTAATCAGTACCAAATCTAATCATTCCATATGGGATCCATTAGGCTATTGTCAAGTGTTTTGGTGCCCATGACCAAGCATTACCAGCAATAGTACAACTGTGCCAGAGTAGGCATTTGCTCATGTGCTGTGTACTTCATTATTACAATGTTTTATTGAAGCAGACATGTCAGACATTCACTGGTTGGCTTACATGTGTTCATCAAGTTTCATCTAAGGTTAAAACCAGAATTTTTTTTTTCTCCTGTGGATAACCAGGGCCAGAACACAAAGGAAATTATTGGTCAAACTAGTTTGAATACTAGTTTAACCTGATCGAACATAATTTACTTGCAACATTGTTTTTTTGTGTGACCTCATGTGTGACATACTGCAAAAGTGCCCTGCAAGTTTGCTGTTGGTTCTTTAGAGATAACACACCATTAAAAAGCTATTGTGTAATTGTAATTGTATTAGTAGGTATTGCATTGCATTGTATTGTATCCACATCCTTGGCCCATAGGCTAATTTTGATGTCAATGCCTTGAAAATTACCCTGAAAAACACATGACTGTTTATAAACTCTAGGCTAACCAGTTCGAGTTTACGGTTGTGTCATACGACACCTTGTCTGCTACACAGCCGTTTTTAGTGTCATCACGCAACGCTCCTCCCCACTAAGTGTATTCTCATTTTTCTGGATCGAGGCTTTAGTTTTTAAATATATTTTTAGTGACTTTGGAAAGTAAAGGTGACGCAGGGATTTGAGTACTCAGCTATCCCCTCTGCGGTCTTTAACCCGGCGAGCTTGAGCAAAGTGATCGCTGACGTCCAGGAAGTCTTAAATAGCAACCAGAAATTTTGTTTTCCACATGATGTAATGCTCTTTTTCTAACACAACAAGTTGTAAAGTTTTTGTTTTTACTCCTGTAGTATGGCGTTATGGAGTACACCACTGCGAAAAGGGAAACGATCAATTTCCGCGTGTCATTTTTTTAAGCTCGGGACGTCAACGTTCTCGTTGCTTAAGATCGCTAATGTCGATGCCATATGTGTTCTGAGTGTGTTGTTGGCTTCCTGTCTTGCTTTAATAGGGTTTTCTTGCAGCACTTTTCTCTAAAAATTTAACAATTCCAACTTCGATTTGGAACGAATGAGTGCTGCTTTACGATGATTTGTAGGTGAAAAAATTACATCAGATACCACTAACAACTATCTCTCTTTTGCTTTCTTCTAGAGAGCACGCTGGTTATGGACGTAGATTGTAGTGTTGCAAGTAAACAGATGACTGATAAACCGAAGCAAGTCGTAACAACTAACGAAGCTGAAAAACCTTTTAAGTGCAACGAGTGTGGTGGTTTTTTCTCACATCGACGGACTTTAAAAGTGCATGAGAAAATCCACACCGGAGTAAAACCTTTTAAATGCAAGGTCTGTGGCAAGAAATTTCTATATAAGCACAATATGAAGAGTCACGAAAGAACTCACTCAGGAGAGAGACCTTATGAGTGTAACCAGTGCGATAAGACGTTTAGACAGTGGGAAAGTTTGAAGAGACACACTAGAACTCATACTGGTGCAAAACCATATAAGTGCAAATATTGTGACAAGTACTTCGGTAACACAGGGCACCTGATCTCACATGCAAGACTACACACCGGAGAAAAGCCATTTCAATGTAAACAGTGCCACAAAACGTTTATGCAGTCAAATCAACTTAAGGACCATGAGAGAATTCACACAGGCGACAGGCCTTATCAATGCAATGTCTGCGGCAAGAGTTTTAATCGTGGTGGAAGCACTTTGTCACGACATATGAGAATTCACACTGGCGAGAGACCTTTTGAATGTGACCAATGCGGGAGGTCTTTTAACCATTCAGGGCATCTAATGAGACACAAAAGAATACATATCAAAGAGTTTCATTTTGATTGTAGCCATTGTGGCAAGCATTACAAACATTTGGGACACCTGAAACGGCATGAGCAATCACACACTACCACAACGGCTTGGGTGGCAAGTTTCGGCGAGTTCGTAGAGTAAGGCAGTTCACTAACTTAGTCTCCACAGTTTTATGACATAATTGATTAAGTTATGCGATTCTCTTAGTGTTACCTAAGCTTAGCTACTTGCTAACGGTACATTGTATCTGTGAAAAAGGATAAGGGCAAAATAGTGATAATAGCTTATCTTCCTTTACTGCCAAAATAACAGTAATGAATGCACAGCACTTGCATATTTTTGTAAAGTTAAGGGCATAGCATTTTAACTGATATTGTGTGGCGTCCTATGTCCAGTTTGCACTGGGTGATCAGATGTTTGCGAGAATTTTAAAGCAGTGATAAACTACCTCCCCCCCCTACCAAAGTGGTAGCTGATCCGGAGTGTGCTGCATTGCAAGTGGTTTCTGACTACGGTGCTTTGACTGGAAAGATTGGCTAGTGTTCTTATGGGTCGCGTATAGGAGGTGTATTTTCGCAAAGGGAGGCTGGACTATGATTTCTTCTCACAAAGATAAAGATAGGTTTTCTTACAATCCAAAAAGTCGAAGAGTCCACAAAAGAGTCTCCAAGTCCACTTTGCCGTAAGTCTCTAAGTCAACTGAAGGTCTCAGACTCAACAGTATGGTCCCTAAGTCCACATTTTTAAGTCAGTTGACCAGCACCATTCCAAAGCGGCTCTCTGTTTGGCTATATTTGCTTTAATGAGACTGTTTCCGTACCGGACTGTACCGAACCAATCACAACGCAGCATTCAACGCGGCCCAAGCTGCCCGCTTCATTCGCGTCATTCGAGAGAAACTGTGTACTTTCCGTCACGGTGGTTGTTTCTCAAATATTTGTGGCTTTAATCTTGGATTTTTAAATATTTAAAAGTTGTGTCTGAGATTTGTTTTATTCACTGAAGCGACGACCCTTTGAAGTCGAAGTGTCAACAAAAACAGGGTCCAAAGTCCACCATCAGTCTAATCACCATCACCATCACCATCGTCATCATCGCCAACGCCATCACCACTGTCATCATCATCAACGTCGCCATCGTCGTCACTGTTGTCATCATCATCATCATCATCATCATCATCATCATCATCATCATCATCATCATCATTATCGTTGTCATGGTCACCTTCATCATCACTATCCACAGGGATGTTTCCAGTTTCTCCAGAAGTTTTATTTGTAGCCACGCAACGGTACCCTTTATCAGTAAAACCTGTTTGACATCGGTGTCTTTGAGGGCATGAGTTGCTTGAACAAAGGTTCTGTGTTGAAATCAATACAGTAAAGAAACTAAAAGTCGTCCTAAAAAAATAACCTGCTTTAAGGGCATTCCCCAGAGTCAAGGAAAAAAATATTAACTAGCGCCAGTCACAGCTATGAAGGAGGAGAAATAATAACTTTGTCAAAACATTTCCGAATCATGGGAAGGCGAGTTAAACATTTGGACAAACCACTGATGTCTCAGAGGCGGAGTATTCACATGTTACCGAAAAAACTTTTATTCTTGAACGAGTTCGCACGCCATCTCCATATACTTCTTTAAATCCGTTTACATGGTATCGAGACAAAACTCGTTCCTGCACAAGACATTACGGGATGAATTCATACCGCTTTTCAATCCTTCTGAAATTCTAGTTCGGGCATAAAGTTTCAAAATCACAAACCGCGTAGTCAGGGGCGAGGGGCGCATGGGTATCAGATCTGATGCAACCATCACGCGAGCAAGAACGCCCAAGGAGTAGCACCTAACTATTTAGCTACAATTTTCTCGGTAAATAAAACCCATAAAACAAAACTTCTTCGAAAGATAAACAGATCTAGACGAGCGGTTTAAGCAATCCGCCGTGCCTTGTGTTCACAAAAGAAACCTGCTAATTAAAGCAAACATTTAATTTGGGAAGTGACCAAACTTACCTTCACCGGTTTAAATAAGGTTCTATCCATTTGTTTCAAGTCTTCAGGATGTATATCGTGATCTGAATTGCTCAACTCACACAAATAGTTTCCATCCTGTAATGGTGCGAGGTTCACAGACATGCAGTCATCGTGAGCGAAACAGTTTGTCTCACACTCAATCTCTGATTTCACCTGGGCACTTTGTATCACGTGATTTACCAGAATTCTGTTCGGTATTGGGAGTTTGAAGTGCATCACTCGACAATCCTCTGAAATCAATTTGTCTTGTAACGCTGATAATAAAATAAACCAATTTCATATTGGTCAAACGTATTTCAAAGTGTATGTTTATAATATTTAATTGTCCAGTTTTTCTTTGCCGTTATTCGCCTTCTAAAATAATAAGTATCACCTGATATACACAAACTGGAGTTGAATAAATCTGTATCCTAATTTGTTGTAGGAAGAAAATAGAAAAACAATAACAATTAAAGGAAATATTAATTATTAAAAGTAATATAATTGCTGTTGTTCTTCTTATATATACTGGCTAATCAGAAGCAGAAATAAGCCAGGATTGTTGCCGCTTGTTGCTTTTTAGCGAATCGAATTAAAAATCTGCGTGTTAACGGTTTGCTAGAAGAAACTAATCAGCGCCGGCTCCAGACCTTGAAATCAGTGGGGGTTGGGGGGGGGGGGGGGGGGGGTCCCAAAAAAAATTTTTTCCCCCCTCCGGCCCCAGTTTTTGGTTAAAAAAAGGGGGGGGGGGGGGCCCCCCCGGGCCCCCCCCCCGGCCCCCCCCCCCCCACACAAAAAAAAAAAAAAAAAAAAAAAAAAAAAAAAAAAAAATTTTAAATAAAAGAGTGTAAAAAAAATAATAATATAAAAAAAACAAATTTTTTAAAAATAATTTTTTTTTTTTTTTTT